CTACCCTGCATACAGAACTACCCTGCATACAGAACTACCCTGCATACAGAACTACCCTGCATACAGAACTACCCTGCATACAGAACTACCCTGCAAACAGAACTACCCTGCATACAAAACTACCCTGCATACAAAACTACCCTGCATACAAAACTGCTCTTCTTATAGGAAAATAATGTTCAAAAGTGGGTATTCACGCAATTCACGGAGTCAACAGGCCGCCACGAACTAATGGCAATGGGATGAATCCTTAGGGCGGTCAGCAGCCAGCACATCCGATTGCCTTAGAAGGACCGCTTAGAGGTGACACCCGGGTACCAATGTTGGCTGCCACCGGACACTCCAAGACCTTGCGACCGGCTTGATATGGGATGGCAATTAAATGCTTCGAAGACGAGTCGTACGTAGGTCAACGCACTCAAGATTCTAGCAGGTGAAAGGAAGGCTAGTGTTCCCGATCTTATCACAGTATGTAGCCGAAAGCTAGAGAAGACGAGGATAACGTGGAAAGAGTCGCCTGCCCGGTCCCCGAACCTGATCCGTACGAGCCCACTTATTCACTGCCGCAATCAGCATTGGCTCGAACAGCTCCCTTTCTCTCAGCCAGGTGGAGTAACACCTGCCCAACTGTCTCTCTGAAAGATGAAAACTCCTTACACTCGTCCAAGACGCCGCTTGTGATGTAAGGGTATGCATCCAGTCCATGAATAGTTCGGAGACTTCCTACGCCGAGTATCTGAGCATCCTGTCCTATCAACAAAGATCAACATGCTGGTCTCGCCACCGCAGAGGTTCTGTACAGCTCGGGGAGCGCGCACGACAAGCCTGGAGCCCATCATGGTGATGCGAGAAACTGCAAGACGCCGTCATCGTGCTGTTTTAGTCGCGGCCAAGTCGCTCGAGCTGCGAAGTAAAGCCCGCGCATGCGCCCCGAGTGTGTTTTGCCCAATTCCATACTCATTCGTATGATTGGTCTGTGTCAATTGCCCGGCTGAGTTGGCTGCGGGCAGGTGGTGCTAATGCCCTGAGTCGTCCGCACCCAAATTGTCGCCACGACTGGACCGTTGGTCGATTCGCTCTCTGGGCAGGTCGCCAAGCCAGACCTCTGACGTGTATCATGGTACCCCTTATAGCAGGGCGCGAGGCGGTCACCGTACTTAATCTAGTCCACCGGGGGCATACCTTCGTTGGCCTCTGATAATTGGGCTTGAGCGTTGGCTGGGCGGGGCGCGACGGCCGACTGCCAGCGCACGTGGCAGCCGTGACTCGCCTCTCGGTGGACTGAAGATTCCCTTGAAATCGGGCGTCGCAGGATACTTTTCGGACTTTCCGGAATTCGTCTTAGCATCAAGCGCGTCGACCAATTAGAGATGGCAACGTTTAGTCCCTAACTTACGGGTCGCTCAATCTATGGCTTTGACAGCGAGCATATCATAGGTAGTGTTTTTCATAGTTGCGCAGTATTACGAGACAAAGCACCAAATGCCGCCGCTAAGGCGAGACTGCGCGCCGATTTCGAGCTCGTGGACTATCGTCAAAAGATATGTATGTATTTTTTTAAGCCTCTAAACGAAAGGCCTTTACGTGGATGGATTGCCTGAGTGTCGGGGCAAGCAACGGTCGCGCCCCAGAAACAGACCCCACCCACTGCCACACGGCCGCCTACCACAGGCCAATGTTTGTCTGCGTCGTCTTACAGTGCCCTCCACCGCTGGGGGGTGTATATACCACCACGGCTTTCCCAAGCCTACCATCTCTGCCTACAACTGTGTAATAGAAGATATGGAATACCCTTTCGGAGACTTTTGCCTTTCCTGCGATTGTCAAACCGACGGCAAAGATTACTGTTCCCCTAAATGTGGCCTCACCGAACTCGATCGAATTACCCTAGCATCCCCGAGGCCCTCCTCCTCTCCCGATGACACTTGTATCTCCACCTCCTTCTCTTCACGGCATCAACCTTCCTCGGACATTCATACCAGCAACTTCCCTTGCCCGGATAGCTTAGAGCTATCCGAACAAGTCCAGAATGAACTCCAGGAATTTTCGAGATTGTTCGATCAAAGGCGGATATTTCACCTAGTACATCTCCATCCAGCGAATCGAGGCAGCACATTCTATTACTTAAAGCCGGTTCGCGGTTTTCAAGATATTGTCATGTAGTGTACAGCGCGAAAGTATGGAATAAAATTTACAAAACATGGGAACGTTATTGGCACTGTAACTAATATTGCTCTTAGCATCTCTCATCAAACCCTTCTTAGAGACCCTATTTTCAACATCACACCGACAGAGCATTACAATAGTATTTTATTCGTTATAGAACATGCATTCTGTCGAGTATTCTATATTACCGAGTAAACCTCCAAAGTTTAAGTCTGGATTCAGTACCCTTTGCCCCATTCTAACATTGTCGTGGAAGCCTATCGTTTAAAATTCTTCCATAAAATCGACTGACTCATCAAGATCTTTCCTAAATTCTTTGATCGTCACCATACACAATACCAACAAGATCTCCGCCTAGTTCCGAATCAGTAGAAACCTCGAGGATTCCCTGGGCCTTGTCGTGGAATAGAAAGATTTCTCCACGGGGCGCGGGTAATTTAGTACTCAGCCTTGAATCCGCGAGCAGGTCGAAGTACAAAATCTCGCCAAAAGCGACAATGACAACTTCGCACTAAGTACTCAGAAAGGAAGTGAAAAATGGAACGGCGCCTTTCGTATTCCCTCCTCCAGAGGCAAATGCTCCCACGGAGGAAATCCTGGCAGACATCTCGTTAGGGAGCACGATAGCCCGCTACTACGGCAATAGCTCTGAAAAGAATATGTCTGGTAATGTTTCCCAGACACGAGATAGAGAGATCAGCTAAGATAGGTACCCTCATTCTGCCAATGTCTCGGTGGCGCGTCTTTCGGCTTACGATAGAAATCCTCATAAATTCGCACCTCCCTCCACATTTATTTTTCATCCCAACCGCAAACTCGTCTCCAGTAAGATTCAAAAATGCACCCCAGAGCGAAGATTTCCTGTTGGGGTATCTTCGGCATCACAAGAGAGCACAAATTTGGGGAGGGCCTATGGGCGAAATTCTAGGAAGGAAGGGAACATCACCACGTAGATACGGCGGACCGTACGCAAAGGTTTATCAGGTCCCATAGGATCGTCGAGATCCATTTCGGGTGAAGGTAGATGAGGGAGAGACATGGCCGCATAAACGAACGACAACAGGGAGCGGTATGTTTCCCGGAGACCTCCCTGGACGAGGAAATCCAGAAACAAGCGGATCGACCTGGCCGACAGGGAGATAACCCAGAGGTCTATCAACTGATTCTCCACATGCCACCTATCGGAACAAGATTTAGCATCTTGAATTTTCTCTTCCACAGTCTCCCCGAGAAAGTAGGCGGCTTTCCCATTTCTAATTCCGAGGTCCAGGATGAGAGGAGAACAATGCTTCCATATCAATCGCGCATTCGTCTGCTTTTTGTCCGCGTACTTCTTGAATGTCCTTAACGCTAATCTCTTTTTGATCGAGGTCAAGAAGACTTTCAACTGTGAGGTCCGGATGGGCCGAAATTTCAATGACGTCCTATCCAGACCGGTCCTATCCAGACCGGTCCTTCAGCCTAGGGTCGGCGTGCATTCCCATCCACATTGTAAGCTTTTCCCAATCTCTTTTTCTTTGCGGCGTCTTGCGTTAAAGTTCCACCTCCTCTAAGCTGTGTATCGATCGGAAATCCAGCCTCCTCGGTCAAAAATCGGAGACAATCTCCCCTATGCTGGCGACGGGATGGCGAACATGCCGAGAATAGCCATGCCCCTGAAGAAGTGCCGTAGATGGTGGGAACTACTGGCTTGAAAAGGCGCAAAACGTCGATTTGTTCAAATAATATTGCGACTACAATAACGCCTTTGGCCTCGGTGTCGGTAGGAGTCCTCCGAGTATAGGTTTCACGTCCTTGAGTGCGAGGGACTGGCTCCATCGCGTATCGGTGTAACGCATCTCCTTCCAGAATAACCATTCCGTCTTTGGAATCAAATGCGCTGCTTCTATCATCACTACTCACGCACCTTGGGCAATCCGTGCTGTTTTGCCATCTAAGTCACCAACGTGAGCACATTATATGCGGCAATCACCAGTACAGTACTACTCACTCTGGCTCGCTCGAAAGCTGGACCAAAGCCGATCTTGCGCCGGTACTGCGGACATTTGACACACCCTCACAGGGACAAGATGAGGGAGGCCTTGTCCAGATTCCGATTCCGTCGAGCACGCTTCCGACGAAATCGAATTCGGCGTTGTACTTCTCCCGCCATGCTTTTGCTTTTCCTTCGCCCGAGTGAAACCTTTGTCAATCTATCGGTGTTGTCCCTTACCGGTACCTCTAGGCTCTAGCGAGCGGGCCGTAGAGACACCATCGGCATCACACTCATTTGATCCGAGTGACCTCGGGGTCACCCCGCGAGCGTCTCTCCACGTCGTGGCATGAGCCAAGTCTGGGTTGGTGGCATCTTTATTTGCGGATCTGGATGCGTCGCCACCGTACCGTCGCGGCGCCCACACGAGCCGGAAAGGAGAGAATCGTTGTCGCTAAATTCCCTCTTTTCTCTCGACCACCTCGGACTCCGTCACCACAATATGATCTACCACGTTTTCTGGCTTCATCCGATAACAGGGCGCCACCGCTGACTCCCGCCGTGTCAGCTGAACACGTCGGATGTCGCGAAGCCATATACCCATCCCGATTCAGTAGGCCTACACATACCGTCAATGTCGAGGATAGCGATATCATTCCAGCTACTGTGCTGAAATTGCAGGATGTTAATCTGATCGCTTGAAAAGCCCGAATTGATCCCGAAGGGACTGCCACCTCCGTTTGGAAGCTGCCAGGGAACGACTTCAAGAAATGGCTGGATGGCTTGAAGAGGCGGGGGAGTCTGTGGATCTGGTTCCAAGATTGTTCGCCGGTTGACCCCATCCGTCGTGATCAGTGGCGGCCAAGAATCATTCGTGCCGGAGTCGCTAGGGTTGTTAAAGTCAATGTGCTGCCCTCGCGAGGCTTGATTTGCGTCGATCCAGGGTGGTGTTTGTTGCGGCTGTAGTTGTGATTTTGATTGTGATTGCGATAGCAGCTGCGACTGTTGTCTTGCAGAAGCGGGTGCTAAAAACTGTGAAGACACGAATTGCGTGGGATGGCCAGCATTTGAAAGTGGCAGGTATTTCACGTCACAAATCCATGGCTGGTCGGCCGAGAACGTCAGGTCTCCTCTACCCGCATTCGGTAGTGGCGTGGATGTGGTCGCTGAGGGATTCAACGAGCTGGATGTGTCGATTTGGCCCTTGTCCATCATGGATAGTTCGGAGCTCTTACGGCGTTCGTCCAGAGCGTCCTTCATACTAACGGGAATCCATATCCTGCGTGTGTCTCGATATACCGCCGTTCGATCCCGGACTGCTGCGATAATTGCCCCAGCTCGTTGAGTGCGTGACAGAGAGAGCTCTGGCTCAAAAACAAAGTCAATCACATTCCATATTCGGTCAGCGTCCTGCGGTGTCGGCTGTTGATTTATGATGACTGTCAACAACAAAAGGGCGATGTCCCATTGCTGATAGGCCCCGTTATACCATTTCCATCTCCTGAGTTCTGGGATTTGTTCCATTGCCATCGCATTCTCCATAGCGAGCAGACCGGCTTGAATGGTAAAATTCGCGGGCCCCTCAGGCACTTTGTTGCTGATATTGTTCAAATACCGATGCAATATCATGACATACATACGTCGGACCATGAGGCTCATCAGCAATTGAGCGTACTTTTGTATGGGCACTTCAGTGTTCAAGATCGGCTTGTATTTGGCCTCCATAGCCTTGCAGAAAGATTCCACTTTGCTCAGGACATGGGTCAATGA